CGATTTATATTTTCCCAGATAAATCAAAATTGACTCTTTATTATAAAAACTTGCCAGTTTCAATGGAGGAGCAATCACAATTGAAAGAACAAGCTCTCAATACTCTCAAATTGTCAATGCTTTTGTGAATCAGCATAACACAATAGATATCAATTTGATTTTCCAATAAAAAAATTTAATACTTGTTCATTTGTGACAGTTTCTTATGATAGTTTATTTATTCTCCTTTTTCTAGTTTACTTATTCTTCTTTCACTTATTCTCCGTTTTTCTACTTTCATATAGTTTTTGTCAAAGTTTGATTACTCAATCGTAAATCTTGAAGACGGGTCTAACAATGACACTACTCTATTGCAAGAACAAACATGTTCTGTAATTGATGGCTGAATAAAAACATTAACTATTCTCCATAATTTTTCACTGTGGTGGGTTTGTGCATGACACAAAGTTACGCATAACAGGGAAAACACTCAACAAACAGGTCACCACAACTACCAATCTCGAAATTATTTACCTTATAAAAGTTACCAACGCTTTTTTTGTGTACGACACAAAATTACTCTATTATTTGATTCTGTAAGACACAGAAGAATTTACTATTTGAATGATCTCTAACAACGGAGTGCAAAACGGCAATGAACTGGAAGCTCGTAAAAAAACTAGACCAGGACGAAGTCAGCACAAGAAGGAACAATAAAGGTTCCATTGCATTTATGATTGTCAGCAGCAAAACCCCAGCAACATGGTTGCAATCAAGATTCGATGATGACGAATACCACAAACATCAGAACAGGGAGGAATGCGATTAAGTTCAAATGACGTTCCAGAAGTCAAATTGAATAAACAACGAGTGAAGACATCATGATAGAAGGAAACGAAAGTGAAAGAAAGTGCATAGTTCCACAGAAAAAATCAGAGACAACATTTTAATTTTAATTATCATTTCATTATCAAATTTTTAACCCAAATAAATTGATGACTTAAATAGATAACTTCATAACAAGGTAATTGTATGTACCGAACAACTATCTATCTAAAAAAGGGGGTGAGTTGTAGTATTCCAAATTTTAAATATCCTACCATTTTAAATATCCTTCCGATTTAAATAATTCTTTTAAGATTGGATTCAATTTTTTATGTTGCTTTTAGCCTGGATATTGAAAATAAGTATGTCGCCAGTTAGGCGGACTGGTTTACTGTCTTGCCTGAAAAAGCAGACTGCGCGGCGACAAAGCCCCCAGTCCTTTTGCGATACTAACAAAAGACTTTGAATTCTTAATTAAGTAAGGCAGGTGCAACACTGATAAATTGCCCTGTTTTTTAAATTATTGATTTTTTATAATAACTAATCAATAAGTAGCAAGTGTCAATTTCATCAAAAGTATGAAGAAAAAGGGGAAAATGAAGTTTGAAGCCTAGACTGCAGGTGCAACTTGTCTCAGCCAAATAGCTGAGAATCAAATCAACCTGAATCTTCAGAAATTGTATTTTCCCCACGCTCAGTCGAGTGGAACTTCTTCCTTTTTTTTATTTGTCACTAATTTTTTTAAACAAAAATAATACTTTTGAAAAAATTATAACATTCCAGAACTCTTTTTAGGGTTTTAAGACAGTTGTTCATCCACTTATAAATAATTTAAACTTATTTAATCAACCCTTTTAATTTATCTGTTTATATAAATATCATTTTACCTTTAGTGCCAGATCGACTATGATCTATGATATAATTTAACTTAGATTTATAGTTTTAGTTACTAATTGAAACAAAGGGATCTAACAACCGACCCCACGTTTCTATTAGTAAAATTAAGTTGCTAGTGTTAGCAATTTTTTGTAACATTTTGGACCATTGCTTAATTTTTTTTGCCACCGTTCTCTTGTTGTGGGCTACTTTGAAAGTAAATAGTCCTACGATGACTCTTAGATGACGATATTGATCATGATGATAGCAATAATTCTTGAATTTGCAAAATTCAGTTTGAGAAATTTGTAAGAGTGGACATGGGTTGAATATGGGCAACTGTAGTTGTAAAAGAAATTATTCCAAATTTCGAAATTTGTGCCTTAGTGTTTTTTCTCTGAAAAAAAATTGACTTTTTGACTCACAGTTTTCGACTTGAACTGAATCTAAAATTTGATCAAAAATTATATTTAATATTTTTTGAACAAAATTATTTATTGCCAATTTGACCAACGTGATGTTTTTAGTGCTTGCTGCTTATGGGTTGTCTATAATCGCCTGGCATCAAATTAGTCTGAAAAATAAATCATTCAAAAATGAATTGAGTCAAGGTATTTGGTTTCAATAACGAGTTGAAGATAAGAAATTCATCGTTTTGCACTTGATGTTGCGTGAAAGGAAATTATTTGCAAAAAAAACTGAAGTTTGTATTATCCATATGATCATTTTTAGCAAAAGTGACTTCAGATACCTTCTAAATGGTGGCCGGAATATTTAGGAAGGTGGCCGCATCCTGATACGAGCAAATAATCGATAAAAAGCGTTTTTAAAAGAAACCATAGACCAATGAAGCTCACACACGCCGAATAAATTTTTCTTATCAATTTTTCTTAATTTTTCAAATTTCTAACATTTGTTTTTTTTTTGTCGCATCACGCACATAAAGCGGCACAAAATTGAAAAAAAGGTCATTTATCTTGGAATTTATTGTGCATTTGGTCGGAGCTTTCTGCGATGCGACCAAATGCACAAGTCTATCAATTTGCACAAGAAATTCAGTCTATCAATTTCAATTTTAAACGCGCTTGGCCGAATTCCATAAACATTAGATGAACTCCGCAATTTGTCATTGAATCAAGCATTTATGTTTTTCAAATTTGTTTATGTTTTTTCTGGAGACCGCATTTTGTTGCTGAATTTGCAAGCTGACTCTGGGTTCTGCAAATTCCTTTTGATTATAAAAAGCCTCGAGCTGCATAATTGAGGACTCCTTTCAAATTTTGTGAAAATTTTGCACCGGTCAAAATGCGATCGTCAGTAGATTTTAAAGCCTTTGTGGCTGGAAATAGATCATGGAAGTGCTTTTAAGTGAAAATGATTGTCTCAATTTAGTTTTTATAATGTTTTGATGACTTGAAAAACTCAAAACAACGCCACTCTCATTTATTTTTTCGTCAACAAAACTAGTTGCTTGCTGTGCATTTAGCGCAGAAAGCTCCGACCAAATGCACAATAAATTCCAAGATAGATGACCTTTTTTTCAATTTTGTGCCGCTTTATGCGCGTGATGCGACAAAAAAAAAACAAATGTTAGAAATTTGAAAAATTAATTATGATCTTCAGTTGTCTTCAAAAATAACCAAAACTTTTCTTCGATTTTTTTTCTAAATTTTTGTAAATTTTTTATTGTTGCCTTCAAAGATTTCCAAAAGGGGGGGATGGGTGGACGCTTCCTTCCTCGGGGAATCGACCCCATGCTAACCCAAAGGGTATAGGTACCCTTTTGTACTATTTTGAGAGATCAGTTTTCGGCGGACTGCCCCTAAAATTTTTCTAAAGGCGCTTTCGGCGCCAATATATACTAAATTTGAGGGAAAGCGCGCGCCGAAAAACACAATTTTTTGGTCAACATTTTCCAAAAAGTGCCTAAAAATGCCCTTTTTGGCCTATTTCTTGAAAAATTTGCCTGTGGCAAGGAAAATTTTGTCAAAATATGGTCTGTATAGTGATTTAGCACAGCTCAGAAAATCAATTTGATCGACTTAAAAAAAGATCAACAAAATTTTTGAAAATCCCCCACCCCCTCGAGAAAATCCTAGATCCACCCCTGCTTGAAACTATATTGTTAAATAATTCAATTTTTTTTCAACAAGGAATAAAGAGTTTTAATTTTAGTTTTGATTTAAGCAAATCACTTCGTAATATAATGTAGGGATGAAGAAGTGAAGACCAAATATGAAACTTACCAGAGAAGTTAGATTGGGATTATGATCCAACACAGTTATCGATGCCTTCTTTATTTTTTGGGATAATTCTGGAAGGTTTTTAACAGATTTTAGAATTTTCACAGGAGTAAATTTGGTGTAAAAAGAAGAGAATAAGTATTGTGTGCCGAATGGTAAAAATGTGTTTTGGTCGCTCTTTTTGGCCTGCTCTGTTTTGCATAAATCATTAATACTTGTATGTAAATCAAGTTTTGCCTTTGTTCCCAACTAAGCCGAGGAATTAACTATTTTCTTCTAATCTGAATTAAAAATCGAGAAAAAGGCCAAATTTTGCATTCAATTATTGTTTTTCGCCCCATTCAGAATTCCTTGCATAACTTATGAGTTTCCACTTTTCAGCATAACTAAAATGTGTTTTTTGCTTCGTCAGTTGCTCTTGAATTCCAAATCAGAATGCAAAAAGGAATCAACAAATTCAAATTATGATTCAAAACCAGCCCCGATTATTTCGCCCGGAGAGTTTTGCATACCATTTTGATGTAGTTTATCACTTTGTGAATACTGATGTGTCTTCTATCAAGTTTTGATTCCATTCAATTTTTCGGTGTCGCCTGTCAATTATTCACATTCAATTATACCGCAGATCTAAAAATCCATTAATTTATAATTAAAACGTTAAATTTTCCCACTGTTCAGTTTACCTGACGTTTATCCCATGTTGCTCACTTTTCGATAAAGTTTAATTTAAGTAAAGTTTTCACTCTAAAACTTTAAACAGCTTATCTTAATATTTGTTTCTCTAAATTTCTACTGATTGGTGAAAAAAACTGAAATCTGTAACAATTCAATGTAACAATCTATTATTTATTGCAGATGGAGCACAGAGTATTTCAGTTTTCATCGGACTGGAATGTAGCCTCTTCTTAAGATCTAACCCTTATGTTCGATATCTCTATTAACACGTCGTTATTTTGACCGATGTGTACGAGCCAGCGCTGGACTAATGCGTCACAGCTATTAAGTCAGAAAACTTCAGACTGTTAAGTCAGAAGTTTCAAAAAGCGGTTATCGTCTTCTTATCTATACAAGTTTGTAGCCTATTCGGTTCGGATTCCTTCTAGTTTACATCGTCATACTTCGCCAACAGTAAATTGTTCCTTCCAAATTGAATTGAGGTAAGCTAATTGGTTGTATTAACTTAGTTCTTTTTCAAGTTTTTACACTTGATATTTAATATTGTCCAAACTAGTCGGAGTCGGAACATTCAGGGCTTTGCCCTGCTATACGAGCAGCCTTGTTTTGTTTTGTTCCCCTTCCAAAATTGACTTTACCGTTTTACCTGGACAGGGGAAAACCTTAGAGTTCTTACCAGGTTGATAGATAGCCAGATTGAAGGTATTCGAGATGTAAGTGAGTTAAAATTCAATACTTCTTAACACTTTGTATTTTTCATATATATTAGCTAGCCAACAAACAAAATCTATTATGATGCTATGCATGTATTTTAACCTTAAGATTTTTTGCGAAGATACGTGATGACAGACTGACGAAAGTATGCATATAAAAAATAGACACTAGCGTCTGTGCCATTCAGCATGGGCTAATTGCCTAAATAAGGTCTCATACAGGTGAAAAAGTCTGTTTTATTTTTAAGTATCATTTGGTTCGTCGGAGAAATACATGATATAATAGTTGGAGTTAAAACCCTTCTCCCTTTGGGTCATTATAAAACAGGTTTTTTAAGTGAATCCAGATTATGTTTTTCTGCGATGACTCGTTTTTGAAACAACACAATGATCATTTTTGTGGTGTATAACAGAAAAAAAACCGGTTTAAGAATTCGCAATAATTTGTAAAATTGATAAATTGCCAACCCGAGAATTCATGATTTTTAAGCCACAGAAAATATCAATGGCTCTTTACTTTTGCTACCGTACATTTTCAAATCTTAAGTATTCCTGATCGATTAATGAGGTTTTTGTTCTTCGAAAGTCAAAACAATAACATAAAATTTAAATTTGCATGTGAAGGGAGTCAATAAAGAAATTGCACTTATTTTGAGCCGAACAGGAACTTTTCCTTTTAAACTTAAGTTTGAGACAATTAAATGGGAAGAGGGAACATTCAGGGCTTCCTTTGCCCTGATACGAGTAGTTTTAGCAGGTCCGAAGTCGGCGATTCATGGGACCTACAATGGATATGCTACGAATATCGCGACCCAAAACAGTTATGTTCCGACCATTGTTAGTCGAAATATGTTTGTCGCGACTGCAAAACCAAAAATACTTTCCGAGATAAATTTTCACATGTGGCAACTTTGCGCGGTCTAAAAAACGGTATGCTGCAACCATCGCGACTCAAAAATAGTATATCGCAATTTTGCGATGTCCAAAAAGTTTTCCGCGTCAGCTTTGAGCGACCCAAAAAGATATAACGTATAAATTTTTGGCTGCCAATATTAAATACTTAGCGTGAAAACCCAGCGTATAAAGAAATATTATAAACAATTAGCTTGCCTCCTCAATTTAATTGCGAGATGTTTTCAGCGCGGGTAGTTCGTGTGTTACGCTTTCAGCATCATAACTGCAATCTTCAAAACGCGCAACATAAGTCCAGAACATGACTACATTGACATTTTCGAAAATGTTGAAAATTTACACAAATATTTCGAAAATCAAGGAGACGATCTCTGTGTTATAAGAAATCTTGTTTTCTATCACCAGATTGTCTTAAAAAATCACTATGAGCTTAAATACAATGTTACTTTTATCAAAAGTCGCAAAAAATGTAGTTGTTAACCTTAATTATGAAGGGAAGCAATGAAAAGAATGAGCGATCAGAAAGATTCATCGCGCTTTTGCGCGACCCAAAAATAAAATGTGCATGCAAATGGGGATTTTCGGTCGCGCGATGGCCAGTTGAGCGACCATTAGTGGTCGCGACATACGTCATGGACCTCGGCCTGGGTATTACTTCTTAAGTTCGCATCTCTTATCAGCAATTCAACCCATTCCGATCCATCTCAAAGTTTTAAAAGACCGGTCTCCAATTCTATTTAGTTAGTATTTGCTAATTTTTATGAGTTGCCGCTTACTCTCTAACTTATTAAATTAATAAATTCAAATTTTCTGTTGTATTAATTCTTTACTTGACCACATGCAACTTATCAGTTTTCTTGGTTTAATAATGGAAAGAGTTTAATTGTCAGTGCAGGTCGTACCGAAACACTTTTCTACCGGTAAAATTATTTTCATTCACGAGATCTGTGTGAAGAAAAGTGCGTAGAAAGCGATTTTCAGACACCTTGAAGATTTGACTTCAAAAGAATATGCAACTCGAATGCCAGTTTCGGCCATTAGGGGATAGTAGAAAGAGATTTTGGCGAAGACGGTGGGCGAGAGGAGCGATCCACATGGCCTATCGGCACGACCGTAACTCACGAGACCGTAAAGACACTTCGGCTCGTCGTTTTCAGTCACGAACACAGGGCCTCCAGAGTCGCCTGAAACCGTGAAGAGATATCATAAAATGTATGTTGTTTTTTGTTCGTTTTTAATCAGCTCTCTCAAACCAGCTGGATATTTAAAGTTATATAGACGACCTAACTCCTATTTCTAATTGACATAACTCAATTTTGATCTGATGCGCGTCTTGAAAAGAAGGTAATTAAAAAAACAAAATTTCTCAAAAATTGATGCCTGGACGTTTGATTTGAATATTTGGTGAACTTTTTGGCTTATAAAATGGACACCATTGATAAGCCAGCGTTGATGTTCAAGGTTCTAGATGATGGCAAAGGGATTTAGAATGTATGTGTGAAGCATATTGTATAAGAAGCAGATTAGTACTGTTTAACTGACCTACCCATGCAAGTGGCAACTTTATCCATGGCCTTGACGCACACTTCGCTGTTGAGAGGTGCGAGGCCATGGCCAAACACCTCCAGACACTCTCTCTCGGGCACTTCAACCAGGTTAGCTTCCTATATCAAGGTCAGTATTTCAACAAAAAAGAGTTCAAAAAGAAAAAGTTTATTCCGCTTTTGTGCCTGAAAAAATCACAACAGAAATTATACATTTTTTCTTATCGATAAGCACGGAGTTTTTTATCGTTAAACTTTGTAAGAAAAAGCTTCAGCGACTTTCAAGATCATTTTGTCTTCTTTTTTTTTGCGTAAAATCACCATTAGTGTATGCGGCCTCGTAGCTTTCTCTGAATCTGTCAGACCCATTCCAATTGCACGCACTGGCCTCATTCTGTCATCATCTTCACAAATAGTTGCAAATATTTTGCGATATTTATCCAGATGAATCTCTGTTTTTGTCTCTAAAATCACCACGTCCCAACCGTTTACCACATCACCTGTGTATTGCTGAAAGAAACGATATTGTCTGATCGCATACGTGACACTGCTCTTCTCCTCGTCATCGTCGCTTCTCGTGAAGTCGCCTAATTTGTTATGAATTGAAAAAAGGATCAAGAGCATTATGAAGACTGATTATGCTCGATCGCTGAATATATTTATGACCTGTCTTTTCAAGGCAAGCGTCTTACCGTAAAGAAAGACCTGTAAGAGTCAAAAACTTGATTTACGTTTTTCATTAAACTAATCCAATTCGAAAAAATAAGGCCAAGAAGGGGCGAATCTAGGATTATATCGAGGGGGGACGGATTTTCAATTTTTTTTAGGTCGACCATATTAATTATCCGAGCTCTCTCAAAGCACTAAAAAGACGGTTTTGGCCAAATTTTCAGGCAAAGTTTTGAAAAAATGGGCCAAAAAAGGTGTTTACAGCCACTTTTTGAAAATTTTTGACCAAACATTTGCGTTCCCCCCCCCCCCAAACCCTCCCCCGCCCCAAAACCTCCCCCCCCCCCCCCCCCCTCAAAATAAGTATATATACTCAAAATCGATACTCAAAATAAGTATCGAAAATTGTCGTGATCAGTTTTTAAGACTTTTTCCTGAGAAAAAAACCAAAAAATCATCGTGACTTATATAAGTGTCTTCTTACGTTCATTTACACCTAAATATTGCTAACAAACAGTTGGAAAACTGCCAGCTAACTCAAGTAACACACAAAAAAAAATAAAAATTGTTTTTTTTTTCTAAACTTTTCTATGGGCTTTTTCTCGATGAAACTAGTCCAACTACACAAAAATGGGTCACCAAGTAACTTGTTCATTGTACCGGGAAACATAAAAACTAAAATTCACCTAAAAAGGTAAAAGTTTTTTATTTAAAGAAAACAAAAAACTAATTTTTTCGTTTGATTTTTTTTGTGAAACAATGGCAAAATGTTGAAACAAAGCGCAATTTTCTTTCCGCGTAATACCATTATGTGAAACAACTTTGACATCTTTAATCAGAGTTTTTTTCAGTTTTAACGAAGAATAAAATTGGATTATTTCTTGGTTTTTGTGTTGAAAAAGAGGCTTTATGTCTTGAAAAATTTTCTTTAAAAAACCTGATTGTTCCATTTGATGAGTCTTTTCTGTTTTACGGCCCAAAAATGATATTTTTCATATTTTGAAATATGGATCATAAAACTCGAGTTTGATTGGTTGATAATTTTCCGAGCGAAAAAAATCTTGACCTCTTTGGGTCGCATATCAGAAAAGACCCCATTCCATTTGCTAAATTGACCACCAGTCAATTAAACGGAAAATTTAATTTATTTTGCTTTAACAGCTACTCAATATTAGATAAAGCTAAAATAAAAAATTTCGTACTCATTATGAAAAAGGTGTCCGTTTTAGGAATCGTAGTGTCTAGCCCATAAATTTAATTGACATTAGTCGAAATTCTCTTGAGCCATTTACACAAAATCAATGAAATATTGGAATAAAAAGATCTGTTAAGAAAACACAGAGTGTATAACCTGTCCGAGCTTCGACCTCTTCGGCTCCTATCCAGCCATCGCTGTAAACGCAGTGAGCTGCTGTTATTATTTCCCAAGCAGATATTATTGTACCACCGCAAACCCTGAAGCACTTGTTGTATTTTTTATTTTACTTTTTTTGAGCTTTGTCTATTCAGCTAAGTGGTAGAAAGTTAATTTATAAGAACCTACGTTTTTTGGATTTTAAGCTGGACATAAAACGGATACTTCCCATAAGTTGCTTCCGTTCCTCCTAAAAAATAAAATTACGGATAATTACAAAATTTGATGGATTTAAATAGGCCTACATCGTGTAATGGCTGTTTTTGGTTATAACTCTCCACCCTAGACAACTACATTATCGACTTTTATTCTTTGGAGTATACTTTTTTCTATTAATATCTAGATTGTGAATATAATGGTGCAGAACCAGAATCAATTTTCTGATGGGCAAAAATAGTTGCGGTATGTTGAGAAAATATTGATATGCAACCTCAATAAATAGTCCTAAAACTGTTTCATTTTTGCTCGTTTTTTGTTAAATAAAAATTAGAGCTCAAAATTTTTGGCAAAAAAACTTTAAAATCTAACCATGTTATAGAAGCAAACTGTAAAACAACTGTAAAACTAACCGAATCCCGCTTCACCTTTTCCTTTCAAAAAATTAATAAACATTTAGAGAAAAGAATAAAAAATAATTTTACAGCGGCTCAAAGTACGATTATCTGACCTCGCATTACAAAAAATTGAAGTACCCTCCTTTGCTTGGAATACTGTTGTAGGCTAGATTGGAACTATAAAAAAACCAAAATGAAACTTCGGTTGGTCAATAATGGTTGCAGTATAAATGTTTGCATTATAAAAACTTGGAATCTTTGTAAATAGTCGAAATAGTATATCATTAATTTTAGCTCGTTGACTTTGAACAGAAAAAATGAAGCTTTGAACGTTCCAGCGTAAAAAAATTTCATTCGTAACCCGGTTATAGAAACCAAATGCTATACAACCATAGAAATTGCCAAAAAATTTTGACTTTATCTCTCAAAAAACTACATTAATCAAACATTTTTAGATTGTGACCAGAGAATCAAAAATAATTATCAATAAACACAAAGTCGATGGATATGGCTATGTGTGCAGTCAGAATGGTCATAAAGCGAGCGACTGCTAGTCCAGAAATGAAAGTGGACAATCTAGTAACAGTGGGTCGAAAAGCAAGTGGAGAAATAGTACAGAAGCAAAGCAGTTTTAAATGCTGGTAACCGGGACCAATTGCAATGAACGACAAGCAGGGCAGCTGGGTTCCTGATTTGCACTGCTTTCAATGAATCTCATGGCTGATACATGGTGCAATCATCATGTGGAGCGCGACAGGGCTGTCTTTCAAAGTTTGAGAGCTGGAATGAAAGGAAAACTGTGAAAACCCGAATGGCACCCTCTCAAGGGTTGATGACAAGGGATCAGTCGAAGTAGAGATCAAAGACTGCGATCAGTCTAGCAGGTGATTCACTCTACCTGGCGAAGAGGCTGTGAGAAGCTACACTTTTCACGTCATGCTAAACTTTAGAGATCTACACTTCGGAACTTGATGAGTGTGAGCTCAGCCGAGGCAGGAGGGACCAGCTTCAGTTTTGCTGCAAATGCTTTTCAACTACTAGCGCCAGACAAATGGCGCAGCTCAACAATAGAGATTCTTCTTCACATACATTACGGTGTGGGCGTGCTAGATTTCTGTGAAGTCTGTGCAGCTTCCAAGATGCTGCAAACTACACTGCCAAATAAAACTGAAAGCAATGCATTGACATCGAGGCAATAGATTTGCAGTGACATCTAGAGATCAATTGAAAAACCGAGCTGGCATGGGGCACGATACGCCTTGGGCTTAACCGATGACTTCATTCAGTTGGCTGTGATCCACAACCTGGCGAAGCAGAAAGGCGCTCTTCTACTTTTCGCTGAGCATGTTCGATGTTCGTCGCAGAGCGTGGAGCACCAAAGTTCCTGCGAACTGATAATGGAGGGAAGTGTTCGTCAAAAGCACTCAGGATATTGGGTAGAGAATCCCGGTGGAGCCACAGTTCACAGTGCTCACTATTGCTCGGTAGGCTGCTGATGACTCGATTGCTCTTTGTCGAAGAAGCGCTGCCAAAGATTTTCTGGGTGGGTTTGATCTCAACAGCGAAGGGGTCTTGCAACTTTTGGCCCTCTCACATCCACTGAAGAGAAACGCCCTTCACCGACGGAGATGCACTATTGAAAACCATTATGCAGTATTGAAAACCATCAAAACCAGCAAACTAAGAAAAATTACGAGCGATTTGCGCGTGTTCAGTTGCCTGGCATATTAACTGAATCGAAGCAACAGACAAAAAATAAATCTCAAATACAAAAATATTCAATGAAATAAGCACAAGTTGATGAATAGGGAGCCAAAACAAGCGTGCGAGCAAGAAGAGTTGATTTTAATCAAGATATTTTTCCAGATAACTTCTTGGTTGACTGTGAGTTATTGCAAACCCTAATGTTTTAATCGACGGATTCATTGATATTGAGAAAACAAGCAGGACGACGACAAGCGCTACAACTAAGGGCGAGTCTGCAGATTCCGTGGCTGCTACTGAAAAGGACCCGGTCGGGACGAAAGTAGTAGATCCTCATTTTACTGAGCATCCGGTGCAGAGACCAAGGGGCTATTCAAAAGCACTACTTGGTCTCAAAAAAGAGCAGTAGCTGGCAGCAATAGCTTTTGAAGTGAAATCTAGAAGCCATGGGAACGTGGAAACTTTTAGATAGACAACAATCACGCAAATTTATTGCTGGGTTCTCCAAACAACTCAAGATGAATGACAGAGTTTCAATCTACTAAGTTTGAAAAACAAGTCAAGCATTCATCGAGCTCCGTAGCTAGATGAAATGCTTCTTGCAGTGCTTTGGCCTTAGCTGACCGGAAACCTTTGGTCACACCCAGCAGATATAAGCGCAAAGTTGTCGAAGAAAGACTGCACGGAAGCTCGATCAGGAGAGGCAATGTCTTCGAATGCTGCGGAATACAAAGACTTTATGCGCTCAATATTGCACTTAGCTAACTAGATTAGTACAGACTACAACCTAACTAATGTGACTCAATTCTCCCAGCTTCTGGAAATCTTGGGAGAAAAGATAGAATAGCTGCAGAGCGGGGTTTTTTGTTACCTGAAGGAGAGCAAAAATTTCGAGCGGCGCTACATCAAGGATGCTGCAATTGTAAAACTGTATGGATCCGCAGATGCTAACTGAGCTGGAGACGTGGATAATAGTAGATAAACTACTGGCCACAATTTCCGTCTACAGAAAACAGGGTTATCATCCAGTTTGAGAAACAAGAAGCCATCAACTGCATTCTTATTTAGAGTGAGGCCCAATACCAAGCAATGGCAGCAGCAGTTCAAGGAGTTCTGTATCTGAGATCAGTTCTAAATGTTATGTGAGATAACCCCGATCAAGGCTAAAACTGACCAAATTTGTCGAACATCGATGGATTGCAGCTTGACCTTTGACAACGCATATTCAGTCTGAGTGGGGGTGTTGAGGTCAGAACATTTCAGCGTCAGAAAAAAATTTAAAAAAGAAGAAGTTTGTAGCTAACAAAAGTTGAACCAGAGAAAACACTTTCAACTTAGACAAGGTCCAATAGTGATGCCAAACTAATTATTTATTCAGTAATTAATGAACTGCAGTTCAAGATTTTCTGTATCTGAGATCAATTCTAAATCTCATGGGCGCTGTGAGCGATGAATCAACAGATATTAAGAAGAGCAATCAGAATTGAATCAAGATGATCAAGAATCCTAGCATGCAGGAGCAAAGGAAGCACATCGATTTGAAGTGCTGTTTCTTTGGAAAACGAATTGCAGATGAGAGAATCGATCTCCAGTAATGCCCTACCGAGATATCGGAAGCCGATTTATAAACCTTGAGCAACGCATAAATGGACCAAAATTCTCGAACACTGATAGGTTGCAGCCTGACATTGGAGAAAGCCAATTCAGTCTGAGTGGGGGGTTGAGGTCAGAACTTTTCAGGCCTAGACGAAATAAATAAAAAAAATCATCTTAGAGATAACAAAAACTGAACAAGGTAAACGCACTCAACTCAGACAAGGTCAACTGGTGATGACAAACTAATCAAATTTTCACACTTTTTTGATCTCTTCTTCAACAGTCTTTACTTGTTTTCGATCCTGTCTGTAGCCCCATTTATTTTTTTAACAGTTGCTCTAACTCTGAATCTTAACAAATTGTGTGCCCAGGCTTCTATTTTTATAATTTTCTGTTAGAGCACACAAAGGCAACGCTGAACTTGAATATGGCTGCTCTCAATGTAAAATGATGGACAAACTTAATGCAAACAATAAGTGCACACCAGAGGCTTGTTCAGGACAATGATTGGCACTGATGGTTTGCCAGAGACTGAGCCCAATCTCCCCGAGAGTCCGACTGCTGATCAGAGGGTAACCTATGACACCAAGATGCAGATTCGAGCAGTTTTGATCCAGCAGAGGAAAAACAATCGAAATTCGCGGTCTCACTTGGCTCTTGTGTTGTACAACACACCTTTGATGATCATAAAGAGGACTTCGGGGAAACTGACAGTTATGGCGATGTGACGAAAATCTATAGGCTGCTTCAAGATCAGTTTTGCTCTGTTGAGGTGCTCAAGTTAGTGGTCGAGCTTGCGAAGCTAGAACTAAGCTCAAGAGATGTTCCCCTTTGCTCTGCTGCATCAATGAGCGGCCCAAGGTTTTGAATAAGGAATTTAGTTTGAACAATATGTCAAACCAAAATAGATTGTTGGATCCAAAATGGTAATTTAGTTTGAAACTTCTGAAGTTCCAAAACCAGCTTAGAAAGCCAGAGCGAGTTGAAGCAATTCGGAATCAAATTAATGAGACTAGTTTTGTCCTCTAGTGTTAAAATTAACCAAAGTGATGTTAATCATTCGAGTTGTTTCTGGTAGTTTCAACTCAGACAACTTTCACGTGATTTTTCCAACCACTTTAGTAGTGGAAAAACTTCAGAAGAATAGATAGCTGTTTTTTCCGACCACTGAGAATGGGTAAATTTTTGGATTGGGTATAATTGTCAAAGCAAACTCAATTAGCACTTATAAACGTTAGATAATATCGAACAATACAGCATATCAAAACTTTTTTAGTTGTGCTTTGATCGGTATTGAAAAATTTCCAAAACTATTATCAGCGTCAAGAAAATTGGTTCGAAGTGTGAAAAGTCATAGGGAATATTCATACCTTTCACGCAATTGTTCTTCAACTCATCAATAAAGCCATTTGTAAATTGTTATTAGCTAGGTTTTAGTCCCACTCCTTATACGCATCAAAAATTTCATGACAAACTGAGCGACGCAAAATTGACTGTTGTCCGCCAATTTCAGGCTTCTTGCTTAACAACTGGCAATTTGATTGTGAAACTTTTTTATTGCAATCTGAAAATCAAGAACTTTCATTTTTTTTGCAAATTGTTATTTTGTTCCTGTTTAGAACGTCAGTCTGAGTGGACTCGACCCAAAAAGTTTTCGCCCCTTTAACAACCAGAGCAAACACACTTTTGTAGTTATGATAAATTTTCATCTCAAAGTTGCCTGACTGAAATTAAAATTTTATTAATTAAGTTTAAATAATTATGAAGTTTTGCGATTTCCTGAAATTCGATGCTTAATAATTTTTGGTTAAAAAGTTGTTAATTTCGTCAAGACAATTCTGCTGCACAGCTAAACTATCAGGTTATTACACAAAAAAAAACTTAGGAGTTTTTATCATCGAAAAATTGAGACACAATATTGTTGTTTTGAAAGCCTCGCTCAATACTTGAATTCGCAAAAAAATACTTTTATCACTTACTAAACCATTTGTAGAAGGTTAATCAAAATATAAAATTACTTACCAACTATTCTGTCCTCTGCATCGATGTCGCTGTCATTATCCCTTTTTGATATCAAATTATCCTCAAATACCAAATAGATTCATAAACATGCGTTTTATTTTTTCGCCTCAATGACAATTATGGGGTTGGTCCATCATGATTTTAAAGTCGTGACATCAAAAAATTCTTACTTCAAATTTTTCTATAATGACATATGACTGTACATTTTTTGTTGTACATTTTTTAACTAACACGTAAGAAAAACTTGAAATCAAAAGCTTAAATTAAATGCATTTTTTAAAGTTTATTGCTCTCATCTTCTAGTAATCAAAATTAAATTTAAAGTATTGAAAATTAGTACAGTTGATAAAAATGTTTCACTCACTTTTTCAAGTTTTTCTTCGGTTTTTACATTTTCTTTGTCTTCACGTTCAGATTTCATCAGTTGTGCAAAATCGAAGTTTATTTTACAGATGACGAGAACTAACACACTCGATAGAATATTCATTAAATTTGGCGTCCCATTTCAATTTTTGAAGGAAAATCAAGCTGGTGGATTTTTTTTTTCTGAGCAGTTTTTCTGAGAACCATAACTTCTGATGCATGGAGTCAACTGATTTTTTAAAACTGAAAAGTCAATTGTTCATCTTTTTGATTTAAATTACATGGCGGACAAAAAAATCAAAAGATAACCTCAAATTGGAATTGGATCAGATATTCCATTGAAGAAATATTGAAACATCGCTTTTATTGAAACATGTTTTCAAGGTTGATACTGACAGAAATATATAATTAATTTGAATGGCTACTGATCGGAAATATTTTAACCGTTTTTTGATATGAGAATTCTATCAACAATGATACAATTTGTTTTACACTTAGAAATTTTCAATTTTTCATTGCTTTTAAAAAGCGGAAGATTCGACCAATCAACCGAGGAGCATGTCAAAAAAGTAAGTATTTGAAAAATATGCATCCCAGGTGCGATCTTTGAAGTCAAGTGGTGTCTTTGGGAGGCGGACCTTAACTTGATCCTTTTTGTATGAGTGATTGCATGCAAGGGTGGAGCTAATGCAAATTAGGGCCTTTCTGGAGGCTAGTTTTTGTATTTTTTTTGATAAAACACAACATCCTAAATATTAGTTCACGCCACTGAGTTGATTACTCATTTGCACCTTCGAAAATATTTGTTCAAAGAATTTTGTTTGTGTCGTTAGAACAGGTCCAATCTGCATCCAAAGAATCGAAAAACTATGGAGACAATGGCTGGAGATCGTATTGTTGGTTAGTGACAAACAAAGTCAGATACCATTTGGGTTGAATACAGTTGCTTGTCAATTATGGATTCAATTTAGGTGGAAAAGTAGCCAGATATGGGCGATACCCTTTCTATGTGCAAGTCATATCAGGGAAAAAGTAAGTAAGTACACAACCTTATAGCATATGGTAACCAGTTGAAGACTTAATTAGTTCAGTTCTGATGAATTTGCTGTAGTTAATTCAAAAATGAAACGCTCATTTGTTTCTAAGAGCAATTATTCCGAGTTTTGAGAGACAAAAAGACTGCTCGTGTATCAGGGCAAGGCCCTGAATGTTCCTACCACCCCTAAAATGGTATCGAGTAATTTTTGGTAAATGAATTATTGAAAAACCAAAATGAACAATATCATGATCGAATTCGCGCAATTTGAGAAGAAGGGTTGTTGGCACATACAGTGGGGTGGGGGGGGGGGGGGGATTTGCTGGCCAATGTGCGGTAAAGTGCTGTTGACGGTATAGGGGATTAAAAATGGGGATTGGGTAACTGAGGGGCGCTGTAGACATGATGGGAAGCAGTTTAAAAATCCAGCTCGCGGATTTATAATCTTTCCACGTTAGTCAATTCCATTCCTCCACTTTCACTTTCACCATAACCTATTTTCTGATTTCCCGGATTGAAGTAACATTGAAATTCAGAAATGTATCATTGATCTCTCATTTTGTTTCATTTTGTTGCATCCATGTATCATTCATGTTGCAGTGCCGTTTAAACGATGTTCATCCAAATTTCATCTATGAAACAGCGATGCAAATTACCTGGATGTTTCATTGATGAATCATGACTGAAAGAGAGATTTTAAATCTATGATTCATCCATGAAACATGAATGCTAATTACGTTGATCTATAACCCCTGTTTTATGCCTGCATTACCCTGAAAATCGCTGAAAATACCTTAATCACCCCTGATTCATTTCTAAGCAAATCATAATCAACTTAATTGCGTCTTATTTCTGAAGCAATCATAATCAACTAAATTGCGTCTTATCTTTTTGAAAAAGCGGGTAGTTGCAGCAGAAATTTTGACCTATAGTTCCAACTATTGAAAATCGAGAGGAACTTTGTATTCGGGTGTTTTAATTTTTTTTCTATTTTTTTCTTTTTATTTTCCACGCAAAATCAGGTACCCCAAATAATAATCGGATTGAATTAAGTGATATATCATACTAAAGCCCGTACAGTTGTGATTCAAAGCATTTTATAGCTTCAAAAAAAATTCCCAATGTCGAAAAAAAAAAGTTTGAAATTTTTTTTTCGTCTTATTTCGAGCGACTAAAGCGAGCGAGCAGTCTTGTTTTAACTGCTTAAAAGCTTGCAACAGCTTACTTTAAAACATAAAAACTGCTTTTTACTTGATTAAAGTTAGTTTTTGAGTATTTTATTGCCTTTCTGGAATCTAAATTTTCAAAAATTCAGTTTTTTTTTCAGCTCCTTTTATTGCAACACAACGAAAAAAAACTACAATAAATTGAAAAAACTTTGTTGTAATTTTTTAAGACTATGGTCGAAACATTCTGTGCTAGTTGCTCACTATTTGGCTATCCTTGTTTCTTTTGGCTCGCGCCAAGCTTGACGAAGTTTTTTGGCCTACACAAAGCCGCATCAAAAAGAGTTGGTCACCTAAGTCGCGACTTATCTTTCTTGGGTCGCATGCGATCAATTAGCTTCGAATAATTTTCAGCTCGAGATAATTGCCAAGCATAAATAATTCGCCTTTCAGCATTATAAGTAAATATTCACAACGCGCATAGAAAAACAATTTTTATGGTTAGTCAATATCTTCATTGACGTAAAACATTTTGTTTAAGAAATTAATTATTATTTCGATCGCCAAAAAGGAGTTAATCAAAAAATTGCCCCCAAGCATCATTATTTCGCTATTTTCCCAACATTAAGTTTTTTTCTATCAAAAAATCGGCAGTTTATTGTTCAAACAACGGAGTGGTTAGAAACTTAGATTTTAAGGCAAGAATAAAATTTCCAACTAAGTTAAGTCATGTAGCATGCTCAATTTTTTTCAGTTGTAAGTTACGGCAATATCAAAAAATCAAGGAAAAACAAATATATTAAAATCTCCAACAACACCCAAAACCTCTTTGCCTATTTTCTTTCCATCCTCTTTTCTTTTTAGCTCTGAACCCATTTACGACCGACCGAACCTAAAACTTACATAGAGGCCTCTTCTAAATTGTTACACAAGTTGATTTTGATCTCAAAAATTGAGACGCGTCTCCGTTTTGATGACAAAAACTCATATTGTCCATTCTTTGTTCAGTTTTGAAGTTATAGATTTTAGGTGATGCTATCTCGAAACGCTATATCAAAACAAGAAAAAGTATATCATATCTTAGGATTCTTACAATTAAAACTGGAGAGTATGTCGGATGACATAAATGTCATGCGCTAAATCATAGCAATTGTTATATAATAATTAGTTTGAGTTGAGTGCTCACGTGCTCTCGTTGTGTATGAGATCAGTCGTGTTAACTTAGACCTATGCTACAGTCACTGTTAAAACAATTAGGTTGATATTTGTTTCTACTTGGTGTCCTAATATTGTACTGAAACGGGCAGTGTATCCACTGGCATAAAGCTTGACTAGCAAAAAAATGATCCAAAATGAAAATTGTATGCGTATGGACTAGCATAAAATTGGAGCTAAAAATTTTTTCTCAAAATTAAAATCAGTTTGCCCAAAAAATAGTTAAATAAATCGCTTATTCTTCTCGAACCTTTTTAATTTGCGAGGTGATTAGTGTTCGTTAGTTCAAGCCCTTACAGGTCTTCTACATTTCCTTGTGTATTTCTTAATTCATCTGTTAATAGTAATTTCAAACATAAGCTTGCTGATTAAGAAGAGAAATGAACGTTAAGAAGACTCTTATATAAATCTTGTAGTTTTTTTGATTTTTTTTCAGGAAAAGCCTTGAAAAACTCTAGCAATTACAGATTCGCATTCATGAATATATTAACGCATTTATGAATGCCTTTAGATATATAAGCACTTCTTGAGCGCAAAATACATTTATATGTTGAAAATAAGGTAACTTGCACTCTCCAAAAACTAACGTGGAAGTGGCGCAAAAAAAACGTGAACGACTTCTAGTTTCAAAAGTGGAATTTAATTTACAACTGAAACCTGTTTTTGAGTTAGTTTTATCCGAAAAATTACCATCATAAAATCGTCGTGAACTTCAAACAGGCTTATGGCCATATAATTTTCACTTTGAAATTCGAAATTCACAAGAAACAAGTGTTTTTTCTGTTTCCTTGCCTTCATTACTCTTTTTCAACAGTAAACTAGCTTTGTTTCTTTAATTTCTCAGTTGCTGAATTTTCTATATCTGTGAAATGCTAATTTTGAGAAATAAAGCTATCCAAATTATGTCAGTCGAAATATTTTTCACCTTTTCAAATTTGTATGCTAGTAGTGCTATATTTTAGTAGAGCGACTAACTGGGAACGTCGTGGAAGGAGTACACTTCACAATAAAAAAAAACGTTTTTCTACGTCGATACTATGTTTTTGAACAATTTTTCCAGCACAATTCAAGTTAAAACTGAAAAAAATTTTAATCAGAAAAAATGATATAATTTTAAGAGAATCTTTCCGACTGTTTGTTTATCAACAAAACTAGCAAAAAATTGCAGCGTTTTCAAATATTGAAACAACACATGAGCTGCTTATCAATGATTACCGCTTATAACTAGCCGCTTATCAATACGAAATAATTTTGTCCTTGTTTGATGTTTTTCGTTTTTTTTAATATCATTATGGAACCATTATATTCAACTCATTGGTATGTGGAACAAAAAAAAGGAGGTATGGATATAACCACTTGTGAAAACACTTATTTATCTGAACTGGACTTTTAAATAGTCAAAATTGAACGCGACGCGACTACCACAAAATGTTAATCACAATAAAGTCTTGAAAATCAAAGAGTTGCAAAGTAGAATTTTTATCTTTTTGAAACTCAAATATGGGGCTAGGTCTGTTACCAGACCGGCCTTTCAGCAGACCACAATGCAATAACTCAATTAAGTAAAATTTAAATTACTGAACGATTCGAAAAGGAAGCGGTTAGACAAACAAAACTTTGCTGAGAACCCGTGAAATCATTGTCTTTAACCAGTCTAAATGGCACCATTACATCTGTCAATCAAATTTGTTTATCGAGTCTGGTAAAAGGTCCATGTTATAACTTTTCTGGTAAAAGGTCGGTCTGGTAAAAGGTCGGTCCCCCTCAAATATAGTTAATACCAACCAACTTGTAGGCAATATATTTTCGGTCAACGAACCTGAAAGAAAATAATTAGCATAAAATTGCTCATTTTGACTGCGGATTTTTGTGTTTCAATGATTCCTACGCGTAAAAATTTTATCCAAATAAAATAATTAACCTAAAAAGCTATAGTTTTTGACCGATTGAATTGCTCAAGGTCACCGATATTGCCTTGTGTAAGCCAATTTGATTTTTTTAAAACGTCTATAAAGTGCGTTGAACTTCGAAATGATAATCTCTGTCGTAACCAAAACCCAATTTTTTTATTTATTGTCACAACTAAACTCCTAAACTCCTTTTTGAATGCTTTATGAACCGAAACATTTGAACTTACACAATTTAGTAGAAATTTAGTAGAAGTTTTTTGCGCCTTCCTTACAACAAATTGGCCAAACAGGCCATTTCTGAATCCCCATAACCTTGAGATTGGCAAAAATTATTTTCCAAAAAAATCACACAGACCACAATTATTCCGTTAGGGTCATCGAAATTCCAAACCGCATGATTATGTTGCTGCAGTGCAAGTAGCAACCTTTCCTAATTTTCAGTGTCTGTGGAGGTACCATAATCTCATCGTGGGAAGTAATAACCGCCGCTCATTGCGTGTATGACAATGGATGGTTGGGTGCAGAAAAGATTTCAGTTCGTACTGGTTAGCATTTCATTAGTTCTTACTTCAGAGGGCAATTCTCATGATAGGAAGACCGAGCTAGAATTGGTGCTATAAGCTACAAAAAAAATCACAGACAAAACTTCCTAAGAATTTTGCGTAGTTTCAAGATTTGTATATAATCCTATACCTATTTTACTTAGTTTTATGTTTACTTTTTATCAGAAAAAAAGAACAATTCTCAAATCATTTTTCAATATCGGTTAAATTGCTTACTGTTCTTGTACAGGTTTTTTTTAGAACTAACTTTTTGACCTTACCGCACTTTTAGGCGACTTCACCAGAAGCGACAATGACGAAAGAGGATCCAGTATAAAATACAGCGTGAGACAGTACCGCTACTTCCCAGAATACTCCGGTGACGTAATTTACGGCTATGACTTCATAATTCTGGAAGTGAATGAGAAAATTGAGTTAGATAAATATCGACGAGCTTTCACTAGTATTTGCACCTCTTCAAATACCTCGAGGCCTGTTCGAGCGATTGGAATTGGTCTCACCAACTCAGTGACTCATGCTCGACCTAATGATCTGATGGTTTGACCCTTTAATTTTTTTTAAACATCCCTCGGTGTTGTCATTTTAACTTCAGTTGTGGAGCCTTTTTGCTTTTGGACTTAGGCGTCCCAAAGTAACAAGCAAAAAAACTTTATTTATCTTTTACATTTAGATGGTTGGAATGATTTATATGACTCTTGAAAAAAATACAGTAATATTTGTTCAATTCTATAAGCTAGCGCCGAACACGATAAAAAAAACATATAGGTTATTTCACCAAAAATAAAACATTTGAAAAAAAATAAAACCAAAAATAAAAATTCGGCAGCAGGAGTCGAAAACAGTTCAATTTTAGTTCTGTGGGAAAAATTTGTTTTAATTTTTTTCTAGGAAGCTGACTTGGTAGAAAGACCTGAAGCGGAGTGTTCCGCTATGTTCGGCAACAAAGCACCCAAAGGAAGCGAGGTCTGCGTCAAGGCTGTTGAAATGAAGGCCACTTGCTCAGGTAACTGAACAGATTGAAGCCATTTATTCACATGTGTGCGAACTGTTCAGATCGGTTTGCTGATGTGATTCTGTTTAATCTATTCGTAAAATTTTTTTTAGTCTTTTTGAGACAGGAAGTTTTGGACCTTGAATCTACATATCCTTAATGAATTTAAACATGTATTCCGAGAGTTTGAAAAAACTAAACTATTTCTTCTTGCTTTTTAATTGATATAATAGCTCTGTTTAGGAGACTCCGGGGGTCCCGTATTTGTAACTGAAAATGGAGAACCCAAATGTTTTTATGGACTTGTGAGCTTCGCAGCTGCAAGTAAAGAGTGTGGCGAACGGGACTCGCCGACAGTATTTGCCAAAATCTCCTTCTACTTTCCCATGATGGCTCAAACTGCACTGCGAATGGCATATTCCGAGCGGCTGAAAGATCCGACTGCGTACATGATTACTCTTTTGCTAATTCGCCTAACCTTTTCAACATTTGTTTGATTGCAAATTTATCCGACACGAAATATCGTTGAAAACAATGAAATGAGTCTTTATAGAAATTCTGCGAAATTAAACGCAAGCGTAAGATAGCAAATCAATGTGAATCCTAAGGTGAAAAGGATGTCATGTCTGGCCACTATCTCAAAAACTTTCGCAAAACGCTGATTAATTAAGCATATAAAACTTTGAACGCTAAGAAAAATGTCCTCGAACTCATATCGATCAAACTATCACTATATGCTGTAAGTGTTAGTTTACATTGTGAGATCAACCGTACAATCTCTCCTTCCCCCCACAATGGCCTACCGTAGAACGTCCTCCCCAATGTAATTATTCTGAAAAATAATTAAGTAAAGTATGCATTTCGAACAAACAAAATTAGTTTTCTCAATGATTAAGTGGGTTGCATTTGAATGCTGTTAATGACCTACATTAATGTATTTTCAATCAATTCTCTCTATTAAAACTGTTGGTTTTGTTAAAATCTAGGCTATACCAAAGTTAGCCTACAAGCCATATTTTCTTCCCGCTAAATCGATTTGAGAAGAGGGATTTTACGGTTGATCCTACATTACAAAAACTTTGTACATGCATCTGACCATGAGTTTTTGTTATATGATGCATAAATCTTCAATCAATTATCAGTTTAAATTAAATTGAAGATTGTGAAACACTTTCTATTTTTTTGATAAAAAATCAATCCACATCATTCAAATTTGAGTTGCAATCATTAAATATAAATAGTAAAATCAAAACAGATGCCAAACACATCACTCTGTCATTTGGTTTATCAGAAGCGTTTTCAAACATTCAAATTTGAAAACATTCAATTCTTTCTCAAGTTAAAATTTTTGTCTATACAAATAAATTCTTATAAAACATGATGGCCTGTGAAATGGTTTGTTACTAACTTTTTAATTATTGGCTGAAGCAAATGAAACAAGTATTTGTATGGCTAATTTTTGTTGTTTCGACTTATCAAGAAAGTAAGGAGAATATTTGCTTGGAGTGATTTTTTGATCAGACCAATTCTTAACAAATTTCCCTCGCGAGATCGATCCATGGATATTTCTCGTCCCAGATGGTCCGCGTTCACCACTAGACTTTCCTGACATGAAGATTGCTGTGAAACGATCAAAAGTAGACTAACATGACCGTAAGAGCGCTGTGATACTTGGATGCTGAAAGTGCTGAAAGTTTAACCCGCATAACTTACGCGTGGCGAATTATCCGGCACCACAAAAATACTCCGAATTCAAATGAAAATTGAAGCAGGCTGATTGGTCTTATTATTTCCATACACGATTCTTAATATTCGGCTTAAAATTTATAGTTTGTCAATATTTCATTAACTAAAACTATTGGAGACCAGTCTAATGACGGTCAAAACAACCAGGTTTTTGCCCTGATACGAGCAGTCTTCTTCCGATTTACGAAGAAATTGACGGAATGTTTGTGGTCTTTGGTTTTTCGTAGTCAATTTTTCAACTAGCTAAATTTGATTTTTTTTTCTATCTGAATCAAAAGGTTTTGTTGTCCTGAACTCAAATAAAAAAAAGTTTAATCAGTAATAATTTGTATGAAAACTTTGTAGTTTTATGGAGGATTAAAAATGGTCAACTTTGTCACTTAGGGACAATTAACACGCAAAAATAGCACATGAGCAGAGATTTAACCCATCTTAGAAAGCGTTTCAAATTGAATTGAGGCATGATATTCAATCTATCTGATACTTTGTTTTGTATGTATGTTTTGAATAGCGTATGGGGAGATGATTTTCAAAAAAAAAGATAAAATTGGGTTTTGATAAGTGCCTGCTATTGTTGCTTCGCAGTTTTTCCTTGCGATGAATAGAATCAAACTAGTGGTCAAAAACAGATTAAAAAAATTAAGATCTTTAATTAAAAAACAAAGAACCCTCGGGATTGGACCTTAAGCAGATTAATCAAGCAGTGCACCAAATTATTTCAAGAAAATGAAAGAATTTTGTCGGTTGTAATTTTCTCCGAAAGTTGTTTTTACTCCGTTGTACTTATATGCGTTTTAAATTTTTTTTTGATAGAATTTTTTGTTTTATCCATCTGCAAGACAATGATGATCAGAGCCAACATAAAAAAGCCCTAACAGTGGCTATCAAAATTCGTACTGTGGTGAAGCTTTGCCCTGACATACGAGTAGTCTTGTTTTTTATGCAATCGCTATTGTTTAAAAAAGATAAACTAGGGTATAGATAAGTGCCTGCTATTGTTGCTTCGCAGTTTTTCCTTGCGATGAATAGAATCAAACTAGTGGTCAAAAACAGATAAAAAAATTAAAAACTTTAATTAAAAAAACAAAGAACCCTCGGGATTGGATCTTGTGCAGATTAATCAAGCAGTGCACCAAATTTTTTCAAGAAAATGAGAGTATTTTGTCGGTTGTGCTTTTCTCCGAAAGTTGTTTTTACTCCGTTGTACTTATATGGGTTTTATTTTTTTTTTGATAGAATTTTTTGTTTTATCCATCTGCAAGACAATGATGATCAGAGCCAACATAAAAAAGCCCTAACAGTGGCTATCAAAGTTCGTACTGTGGTGAGGCTTTGCCCTGACATACGAGTAGTCTTGTTTTTTATGCAATCGCTATTGTTTAAAAAACATAAACTAGGGTTTAGATAATTGCCTGCTATTGTTGCTTCGCAGTTTTTCCTTGCGATGAATAGAATCAAACTAGTGGTCAAAAACAGATAAAAAAATTAAGAACTTTAATTAAAAAACAAAGAACCCGCGGGACTGGACCTTGTGCAGATTAATCAAGCAGTGCACCAAATTATTTCAAGAAAATGACAGAATTTTGTCGGTTGTATTTTTCTCCGAAAGTTGTTTTTACTCCGTTGTGCTTATATGCGTTTTAAATTTTTTTTTGATAGAATTTTTTGTTTTATCCATCTGCCAGACAATGATGATCAGAGCCAACATAAAAAAACCCTATCAGTGGCTATCAATATTCGTATTGTGGTGAGGCTTTCAAGAATAATTTTTCAGGCATTTTGAGATGATTAAGGTACGCAATATTTCTATCAAAGCGTAGTATAAACTGCGAACTGATTCGTCTGATAAATCATTCCAATCAGTTTGCTTATAAGTTTTTTCTTTTGAGACCAAAAAAACTGCAATTGTTGAAATGAAATAATAGTGGCCACATAATATTTCGAAATTTTTAATTGTTATTATAACATGGCACAAACAAAACTGATTTCGTTAAAAAAGCTTACTCAACCATCAAAAAAATGAAAAACTCGAGAAATTAGATCTGAATTAATTATTTTTAATTTCTACTTTAAGAAAATTATGAAGTGTACCATTTTGAGATATCCAGTTTTGGTTGACTGACTGAACATAAAAAAATTCTAAGGGCAGGAAATATATTAGTTTTTAGGGGGAGCGCGCGCCGAAAAACCAAACTTTTTTATCAAAAATTTCCAAAAAGTCGAAAAACGCCTTTTTGGGCTCTTTTCAAAAATTCGCTTTTGGCGCAGAATGTTTGGCCAAAATAAGGTCTTTATAGTGATTTGGGAGAGCTCAGAAAATCAGTTTGGCCAGTTTAAAAAAGATCGACAACATTTTTAAAATATTTTTTTGAAAGTCCACTCCTCCTCGAGAAAAATTTAAATCAGCCCCTGATAACACCACACACAAAAAACGACACTAATTTGCAGTAAAAAAAAATTGAATGTGACTTTTAAGAATATTGTCCTAATATTCTATGCTACTCGCACAGCAACCGACTAGCGTTGTTATTGTTTACAAATGAACTAAGCTATTTTCCTACCTATAAGAAAAACAGAAAGTACTGTTGTTGAAAAAAGAAAAAAAAACTGATCACCTGCCCAGCATATCATTTATGCCGACGAATTTTGAATCAACAGCAAAGCCTAATTTTAGTTTCAAAAATTTTATTTTGACTTGTGAGCAGTTATTACATGACTTTATGCACTTGACTTGCTCAAAGATTTCATTGGTGGCTAAATTTTTCTTCAATTTTATCGTTATTTTTAAGCAAACTGATTGCACTAGAAACGAAAAAACATGAAAAACAAAAAAAAAATTCAACAATAACAAGAACAGCCATAAAAAGAACAGCTTCCTTCTAAGCTGCTTTGTGCTGATTTTATAAATTCTTTGGCTTCAATAACCTGAATATTCAGGAAAATAGAGAGGATTCAAAAAAAACCTGTTTTCTTGCTAACTCGATCGAAACTAAGCACTTTCCGGGACGAGGTGCTCACTTTATGTTTCGAGTACGGTCAGAACATACCGAATTTTGGTCGAGGTAGTCGAAATATACCAATTTTATGTCGAGATAGTCGTAACATAAAATGAGCGCCCTGACCTGGGTTATTCTGGGCGCTGGTGATAGGTAAACAAGACGAAAATATAATAACACGAAATGACATTAAGACGACTAAGTCTTATTTTCCAGACACCCTGGGCTAGCTTTGTTGTAGGCACTGGAATTGGATGCTCATTCTAAATTAAAATTTAGGCACAATGAGTATGCACTGCTCGCTCGGTCCTAGCGAAAGCAGCTATCGTTTTATTAAGTGTTAAATCTAGTGTAACAACTCACTGTATAAAACCGTTTCGAGCCACTAGTGCAAAGTTTTGGGACTTAGGCGCAAAATCTTTGCTAACACAGTCAGTTGAGACCGAAAACTGCTCAAAAGGTTAGATATCACACCGCAGCTTTATTTGTTAATCCAGAAAATCAGAAGAAAACAAATGTTTCAGCGAAGTATGCATTAATTGGAAAAACGGGTGCTTAAAATTGTCGTGCACATTCGCGCTGTAATTAACGTGAACAGATACAATATTCAATCAAATTATGTGAGCGTTCCAAAGAGCTTTCAAACGTATTGCATCGTGTCTATCGCTTAAGTTAAGATCAAATGTACCTAATCAAAAAACAT